AGCTTATGTGTTGGCAAATACTTATTTTCCCAGCTGCTAAGAAGAAGAGGCAGGGAGGTGAATTGATAAACCTTGATAAAAAGATTGTCTGAGAAATATAGTTGGACACCTTTAGAAAAAATTAAAGTAATTCAAGCATGTTGGTGAATGCCTTTATTAGCAGAACTGAAGAGGTTAGAAGGCAGTATCAGGAGTTCAGGACAGTCTTATCTACATAATGAATTTGAGGCCAGCCTGGAATGAGAGAGTTCATCAGAAAACAACAAGATCAGAATATAAACCTTAGGGCTTTGACAGTGACAGGAAGAATTCAGAGATGTCAGATAGTGTGAGGTGCCAGCTGTAGGAATAGGATACCCTCAGGCCATGGAAACAAAATAGCAAAAAGCTGTGGTGGTAGGGAGGCATCTTGGGGACTATGAGCATGGAACTCTCATAACCTGTGTCCTTTTCAACCCGCACTTCTGATTCTATGCTCCCACCATTTCTTTTTACATCTTCTACACATTCTTTTTCCTATTGGACAGAACTTTTCTGGAATTTCCTTCCAGATGTCTGACTGCATTGTTTGGTTTTCTTATTGCTCTGGTTTTGCAAATGTCATGTAAGTACTTTGGAATTGAGCTTCCTTCCCTGAACCCACCTCTTTATTTCCAGATAGAGTATCTATATTAAATCAAGTTAGCCATGATCTCCTATCTTAGCCTCCCCAGTCCTGGGATGACAGATGTGAGCATTTCTGATCATATTTTTCATTATACACATACATAGGCAATTATAAATTTGTTGTAGAAATACTTTTTTAAAGATACTATTTTGTATGTTCAGGTTCAGATATGTGTGCCTATGTGTACATGGCTGTGGAAGTCAGAATTAAACTTCAGGTGTCAATCATCAGTGTCTCCTGATTTTCTTGACACAGATGTCTCATTGCCCTAGCTGACCTGTAAACCACAAAGGTCTACCCATACCTCTGTCACCAGAATAAGATTACAAGCATAGGCCACCTTTCCCAGTATTTTTACATTGGTTTATGAAAGGGACGTTAGATCTTCAGGTTAGCATTGCAAATACTTCACATATTTATCTGTGTCTGTAACACCCACCTCTACTTTGACATTTGTTTGTTTAGCCTATAACTTGAACTCGCTATGTCATCAACACTTACCTTGAACTCCTGATGCTCTTGTGTCCACCTTCTGAGTGCTGATTTTTCAGCCCTGCCATTCTATTGAAAATCTTTTAAAGTTGAATTGCAATGTGGCTTGGAGAAGAACATCTACACCTGAAGTATATATGGAAAAAGCAAGCAATATAATGTTAATTAATGAAGATTTTAAAGTGTTATTTAAATTTTTCATACATTATATTTCCCTCAGATTATTTACCCTCATCTAACTCCTCCCAGATACTCTTCACCTTTCTAAACACCCAGATTCTTATTCTTTCTCTGTCATAAAAACAGAAAGTAGAGAACAAAAAAAAAAGAAAATCAGAAAAAAAGAAATCCAACAAACCAAAACAAAAAAATAAGTATATGAAAAACATCTAGGCCCTGATTTGGGCAGAGACTCCCCCACTCAACCAGAGGATATACTGGCCACTAGAACTCCAGGTAGGCCACCTGCTCATGGACCTCCTCAACTGTAAGTTCCAGTCCACCCTACCCCAACTCCCTCCCCTCATCATTAATGTAATACAATTTCACCACTTTCATTTTAGCTTTAACATTTATGTAGCCCATACTTTCAGATCTGTCTGTTTCTAATGTTTTGAAGTTGTAAATACCTGTTCAATCCATGCCATTAAACTCAGTATGTAAAATATTTCATTAATCTATGGTCTCCAACTTGGACAGAGGCATCTGCTTGACCAGCACTACTCTGGATTCTAGAAATCCAAGTAGGTTGCCTGTCTGTGGACCTTCCCCACTTTCTGGGTGCCCATCCACCCTATCCTACCTCCCCCTCCTCTCTTTATTGCTGTGTCCCATTCCTGTACTCAGGCAGAGACCCCTGCTCAACCACAGGCCACACAAGCCAGAAGACTAATGAAAAAAGAAACCAAGGAACAAAACATCTGTCCAATAATTTAAACACAAGAATCAACATCTAGCCCTATAGTCACCCCAAACCCAGATGAGTTTCAACTGAGACCCATTCTGGATGAAGACTCAGAGGCCTCCAGTCTGAGGAAACAAGACCAGCTGAGGATCCGGCGAGGTGAGGTAGCTGTGGCTTGTTCTGTCTCTGATCATCTAGCAGTTCACCCCAATAACTGGCCCTGGGTTTGATTTTATTAATAAAACTTCTTAAGATTCATGCTACATCTGGTGCCCAAAGTTCGTGTTACGAATTCTTGAAAAAGATAATTGCCTGTGGGCCTTGTGGGCCCTAGCTCAGGACCAAGCTACACTCGGTCAGTTGTGGTGGTGCATGTCGGTAGCATTTGCTGAAGGAGGCAGAGGCAGGAGGATCCCGAGTTTGAGGCTGGCCTAGGAGGCTTACTAAGAAGAAGCTGAGGCCGGGACCCAGCCAAAAACAGTGGAGGGACCATGGAAGCAAAAGCTGCTGCTCAGAGTTGCTGGCTTCTTCTCATCATGTTGGTCACTGCGGTGATGCTGCTACCTGGGACGAAGACCCTGAATTAATCCGCACACCTATGAATATATAATTTTTGACAAAGAAGCCAAAAGTGTACAATGGAAAAAAGAAAGCATCTTCAACAAATGGTGCTGGCATAACTGGATATCAACATGTAGAAGGCTGCAAATAGATCCATATCTCTCACCGTGCACAAATCTTAAGTCCAAGTGGATCAAGGACCTCAACATAAATCCAGCTACTCTGAACCTGCTAGAAGAGAAAGTAGGAAGTAGTCTTCAACGCATTGGCATAGGAGATCACTTCCTAAATGTAACACCAGTAGCTCAGACACTGAGAGAAACAATCAATCAATGGGACCTCTTGAAACTGAGAAGCTTTCGTAGAGCAAAGGATATGGTCAACAAGGCAAAGCGACAGCCTACAGAATGGGAAAATGTCTTCACCAACCCCACATCTAACAGAGGACTGATATCCAGAAAATATAAGAAATTAGACATCAAAATGCCCAACAGTCCAATTAAGAAATGGGCTATAGAACTAAACAGAGAATTCTCAACAGAGGAAACTCAAATGGCTGAAAGACATTTAAAGAATTGCTCAACATCCCTAATCATCAGGGAAATGCAAATCAAAACAACTCTGAGATACCACCTTACGCCTGTCAGAATGGCTAAGATCAAAAACACTGAAGATACCTTATGCTGGAGAGGATGTGGAGCTAGGGGAAGTAGTTCCTTTTTAAAAGTAGATTCCATAATCTCCCTTTTTATCTTATCATATCCATATTCTCTCGTTTTTCTTTTCATAATACATTCAGTAATGTAATCTTGACTGTGTATATTGTATATACTTACTGGATATAATTTTTCTTGTATTAATTATAAGCTTTTTTAAATTTTAGACAAAAAGAGAGGAAATGTGGTATTTTATTCCCCCAAATATTGTGCATGCTAATAAACTTATCTGGGGTCAGAGACAGAGCAGCCACAATATTAAACATAAAGGATAGGCAGTGGTAGCACATGCCTTTAATCCTAGCATTCCAGAGGCAGAAATCCATGTGTTCAAGGATACAGACAGGCATGGTGACTCATCACACCTTTAATCCCAGAAAGCAAGCTTTTAATCCCAGGGAGTGGTGGTAGAAAGCAGAAAGGTATATAAGGCATGAGGACCAGAAACTAGAAGCATTTTTGCTGGCTAAGCATTTGGCCTGGTTAAGCATTCAGGCTTTCAGCAGCAGTTCAGCTGAGACCCATTCTGGATGAAGACCCAGAGGCCTCCAGTCTGAGGAAACAAGACCAACTGGGGATCCAGCGTGGTGAGGTAGCTGTGGCTTGTTCTGTCTCTCTGACCATCCAGCAGTTCACCCCAATAACTGGCCCCGGGTTTGATTTTATGAATAAGACTCTTTAAGATTCATGCTACAAATCAACATCTAGCCCTATAGTCACCCCAATCCCAGATGCCCAGATGCCAGCATGAGAACACAATGAACAACAGACAAGGTACTATGTTACCACCAGAGCTGAGCTATCCTACTACAGAAAGCCCTGAATATTCCAGCACAGCTAAAGCACAAGAAAAAGTCCTTAAAATAAAATTTATGAAGATGATAGAGGTCCTTAAAGAGGAAATGAATAAATCCCTTAAAGAAAGTCAATAAAAAACAAGAGTTGAAGAAAATAAATAAAACTGTTCAACATCTGAAAATGGAAATAGAAGCAATAAAGAAAACACAAAGTGAGGGAATTCTGGAAGTGATAAAGTCAGGTAAGTGAGTAGGAAATACAGACACAAGCATCATCAACAGACCACAAGAGATGGAAGAGGGACTCTCAGGCATTGAAGATAAAATAGAAAAGGTTAAATCAAAGAAAATGTTAAAACTGAAATTTTTTAAAAAATTCCTGACTCAAATCTTCTATGAAATCTTGGACTGGTGGAAGCGATGCTGTCATCTCTGGAAACAGTGCATAAATACTTTGTGAATGGAGCTAGCTCCTAACAGCAATGCCCTTTGGAGAATCCCACCCACCTGACAAAGACCCGTGGAGGTGATACTGAAGACTATTGCACTGATCCTAGGGAGCTCATGTGCTTCAGGCCTCTCTAACATTTTTTGTTGTTGTTTATTGAGACGGGGTTTCTCTATGTAACACCCCTAACTGTCCTGGAACTAGTTCCTATAGACCAGGCTGGCCTCGAATTCACAGAGATCCACCTGCTTCCAGAGTGCTGGGATTAAAGGCATGCACCACCCCTGCCTGCTACCTCTCTAATTTTTGCTGTGGTTATTTTTATGCTAATTCTTACTTTTGCTTTGTCAGTTGCGATTGTGACCTAGTGGGCAAAAAAAAAAAAGTTAAAAAAAAAGTTGTGATTTTTCTAAAGTTTGTACAAGGAAATTAAGCCTCTCTTCGATCTTTCACAGAAACCAATTTCTCTGGTCACCCCTGGGCACCTTTACAGTCATTCTGAGTAAGTATGAGGAATTCACTAAGGTTAATGATTTTTGCTTATGTAACTCTTCTAAAAAAGAGATAACTATATTCCAAAGAACTTCAGAACTTGGGAGATGGTCTCTTAAAAGATGACATTAGCCAGGCGGTGGTGGCACATGCCTTTAATCCCCGCACTCGGGAGGCAGAGCCAGGCGGATCTCTGTGAGTTCGAGGCCAGCCTGGGCTACCAAGTGAGTTCCAGGAAAAGGCGCAAAGCTACACAAAGAAACCCTGTCTCGAAAAAACCAAAAAAAAAAAAAAAAAAAAAAAGATGACATTAAAGACTTATAGGGACACATAAGGAAAAGAAAAAGGATATGAAAGGTCAGATTTAGTGGGTACCTATTCCACTTATGACCTTGAGGTACATGTCCCTAGGGCATGGTCTCAGGGCTAGCTTAAATCTGAGGGGCACATCTGTCCTTTCTGGACAAGCAGGACACAAGGAAAGGTGACTGCTGAAACTTGCAAAGACAGGGTAAGATTGTCTTTCAAAATCCCTGCTTCTAAAAGTGGTCTGTCAGATATTCTAGGCCTGTAGCCAAAATGGATGCCCCAAGGATGATGAGAAACATTAGATGACTGCAATCTATCTCTGTCAATTCTTGCAATTTTTCAAAGTTGCTTGCTTGCACTTCCTGTTTACTCAGTTAGTATTATTTTCTTCTTAGGTCTTTGATGGAGTTAAAGACTAGATAGTTACAGTTATAATCCTCTCATGTCTTAGCTAAGAATATTTTAGGTACTAAAGTTAGATTCTTCAGGACAGCACAGCTATTGAAATAATCTCTGTAACTTGCCATTTACCTATGGTCTGAACATTTCTGGACATTTAGTATTTGTTTCTTGTTTGATGTTGTTCTTGTTGGTTGTATTTCTATCTTCGTTTATGTTATTACTTTCCCCTCTCCTGCACAATACTTAATAATCATTCCTACTATATATAGTTTTGTATTAGCTTAGAAGTTTCTTATTTAGACAAAAAGAAGATGTACTAAGTACCTGTTCCACCTGTGACCTTGAGGTACCAGTCCCTAAGGCATGGCCTTGGGACTAGCTTAAGACCTGAGAGGGGGACTGGAGAGATGGCTGAGAGGTTAAGAGCACTGGCTGCTCTTCCAGAAGTCCTGAGTTCAATTCCCAGCAACCACATGGTGGCTCACAACCATCTATAATGAGATTTGGTGCCCTCTTCTAGTGTGTAGGCATACATTCGAGAACACTGTATACATAATAAATAAATAAATAAATGAATGAATAAACAAACAAACAAACAAACAAACAAACAAATAAATAAATAAATAAATAAATAAATAAATAAATAAATAAATAAAGCTTAAAAAAAGGCCCAAGGGCATGTATGCCTTACTCTCTTCTCTTCCTCATGGACTTGGACAATGTGGACTGACTCAGGCAGCAGAAGCAGCATGGGACTGGCCATCAGCCTTCCAGGACTCTGCAATGATTTTGACTTATCCTGTTTAGGGAGTTGTTCTCTCCAATTTATATCCTAATAAACTCCCTAATACTCCTTAATCAGACTCCATTGGAGTTCTCACTATAATCAGACATCTCACTGGTGCCAGGACATGAATTGTTAGATACTTTTTTTTATGTTAAATCTCCTAGTTCCATTGGAAGAGAAAAGTACACATAGAAACTGCCAGGAAGAAAAGAAACCTGGTCCCAACAGTTAATGAGTTAGATAATCATTACCATTTTGAGAATTTATAAAGAGTAGGATTATACCAGTTGTCCACATAAAAGTGACACATAGATTATTTAGAAATTGACTTTCACCTGAAAATTATATCCTAGCTATGGAATTGTATACTCAGCTGATCACAAAAATAGAAAAGTATCACATTGTTAAGGACTAATCATGAGGCTTGAATCTCTTTTTTTGTAACTGCATGTTTGCTGCCAGCTAGGGCACAATATAAGATGTGCCTTGTTTGATATAATCATTAGGCATGCAATATAAATTAACGATATGGGTAAAGGTCAGGGCTGTCAAGGGAGTGGGGAAGAGGAAAAGAAACTACAATGGGGAAATGTTAATGATTCTTGGAAAATGATTAAAGAGAAATGTATTGCAACTGCTCAAGCTTGAGTGCATTAGAACTTGTATAAATAAAAACAGCTTGAGTTGTTTGATGCCATCTGTTTGAAAGACAATCAGTGATCAGGATCTGCATTTTTCACCTACTTCATACCTCTGCCGTGTGGCTCAGAACCCCACTGGAGTTAAACTCCAGTGTGTGTATGCCTTTTTCTTTTTGAAAATTTGAATGTTGCTTTTAGATAGTAATAATTAATTCAACCCCTCTCTCCCTTTCCTCATCCAATGTTATATCAGACCTTATACTGTAACCATGTAAATTTGAGTATAGCATGCAATGTGCTACCTTTCTGTGCACATTAAAAAAAAAAAAAATTAACCCAACCTACTCGGAACAGCTATGTCAAATTTAACTGTTCTGTGGTCTCTATTGCCAATTTTGTGTATTCCAAGAAAAGAAGTTAAGTCAACATAGTATACTGTGAAATCATTTAAATGTTGTAAGAAAAGGAAAATATGAAATTCCCTATCCTAATGATGACATTTCAAACCTAGGATTACTTTCACTGTGATAATTTGTTTTGCAAAATACTAATGGAATGGGAAGTAACTTGATTTCTCACCTGAATTCTAACAATAGTGAATCCCCTTTTGTTTCCTTTTCCTATTGAACATGGAGTGAGTGAGTACTTAGTTTAACAGTCATTGGTTGCAGTTACCTTGTACCTTCCTTATGTTTCCAGCACCTTTTAACACAGATTTCCTCTATTTTGCCCATGTTTGTACTGAACTAATGTCTTAAGGTGTGACTTCAGGTGTGTTCAGCAAAACTTGATTTAATCACTCCAGGAATATTAGATGGAGTGGTCACCTGTCAGCCTTGACCATTTCAAACAGTTGTAAATAGGCCCCAGCCACCCTAGTCACTGCAGAGTGTGCATGGGGAGCAGCCACACGGGGAGGGCACCCAACTCTACGCCCTCCCACTCTATGCATCTGGGCAAAACAATCTGAGCTCTCTGGTGGGGAGGAGCCTATGAATCTTTCTGCATCCACCCCCTCTCAATTTTTCCTCCTTTCCACTGGGAGAGCATAGAAAAGATCTGAAAAAGGAAAGCGCAGTGGGTTCAAGCATGCCTGCCAACCTGTGGACAACTCCACCAAACCAAGCCCCTTAGGAAAGGCTTCCACCACAGGTGTTGGGCCAGACTCTCTGGCTGTGATGAGTCACCCACCCACAAAGTAACCTGCCACCATGTAGACATGCAGACGCTGGGGACCTTGCAATGGTGTATGAAAGCTGAAGGTCAACATGTCTGCATTCAGGGTTTGTGGCTCCCACCTGTGACCACCAATCACCAGCCTAGCTGTTGCCTTGTGCTCTGCAGATCCAGTGTCCAGGGTAGACTTGCAGTGGGCTGATTCCAAGATCAGCCAGGAGCATTTGCCTGGGCCTTTAAGACTGATGCAAATAGGGGAATCAGCAGGAAGCCCAGGCTTCCATTGGCAGGAAAGCATGGTAGCAGGAGAGAGCAGGGCGCTTCTGCACACCAAAGGGGAGGTGCACCATGGTGACTGCAGAGAGCACCCCCTGGTGTATGGGGTCCTCACTTAATAAGACAAAGCACAGATTGGACCCTCCATCAGATCCTTCTGCTTTAAAGAAATAGGATCTCAGAGCTGCAACTGTCCACCCCCTTGATGTCCTGACATCATGACCTCACATAGAGAAAGAGGCTGGCCTGAGCTGGAGGAGGGGCAGAATCTCTGGTGGTTTCAGGCTGAAAGAGAAGCCAACACCATACTTGAGTTTCTTCCAGCAGTTTCCCATCAGGTCCTGGAGTCAAGGTAAGGGAGAACCCAGGCCTCAGCCTTTTCCTGCACAGGGATGTGGAAGGACAGCCAGGAGCTAGGGGTGGTGCTGGCCAGTTTAGCAGTTTGTTCCAGGAGCTGTGGACAGTGTTTGGGGGGAAGGGAATGTAACAGTGAAGAGGAAACTCCATTTCTAGTCCTTTGAAATTAGAAAGGGGCTGGAATGTAGCTCAGTTAGCTAAGTGCTTGCTTAGCATTCACAGAGCCCTGGATTTAATCTCCAGATCCAGGACATGGTGGTGCATACCTGTGGGGTTCCCCTGACCCCACTGAAGAATTAGGTCCACTGCCCACAGTAGACCTTGACTGAGGAGGGGTAGTGTGCCACCTGCCTGTCACCCAGCTTCCCAGAACCCAGAGACAATCAGACCCAGTGGGGAGCTGGGTCAAGCAGGAACTCATTTATTAAGCATCAGCACACCCTTTATAAAGCACCAAACCACAAGCCAGCTTTCCTTCTACCAATCACAACAAAGGTCAGGTATCCATGAGCCTTTCAGGGCATAGCTCAGCATGATGATCACGAGGAGGCTATGCACCTACGTCATCTCTCCTGATCCACTCATAATTTTTGGTAAACAAGTTAAGTCCCCACCCAGCTCACTTCCTCTCAACGCCATCTTTGGCTTTTGTAGCCTGACATGTGTTCAGCATACCTACACATATCTGCAATACCAGCACGTGATAGGTGAAGTCAGCAAGTGCATTTCAAGGTTATCTTTAGGAACATATAAAATGCAAGCTCACTGTGAGCTACATCTTGTCTAAAAAAAAAAGTGAGCAGAAAAGAAAAAAAAATAATTGGCCTTTCTAAATCAGGAAGATACTCTAGTTGTCTTGGCTCTAGGCCTGTCCCTTCACTTCAGCCCCTCTGAGGCTGAAGAGTTCCTTCCTCCCCTTATACCCACGTCCAGACTAGGGCCATGTTCAACCCCTAGACTCAGTGAGTTTCAGGCTGTTGTGTCCAGATCATGACCCCCAGAGAGACCACCAAAGATGAGCATGCCGGAATGCAAAAGCAAGGTTTAATTCTGGATATCCACTACAAGTCTAGGCAGGGACTTCGTCCAATACATCCAACACAGTGGAGGCTGAAGGAAGTGCCTGCCTGTCTGCAAGCTCAGTTTTTAAAGGCAAAAGCCACAAGGTTACATCATTTAGGGGTGCTAGTACAGGTACAATTCTGATTGGCTCACTTCTAGGGACTTTCTAGAAATCATGGCTTAATCTTACTAAGGGAGTGGTTACCCGCCACCATTTCTCATTGGCTGCCCTCAGGTGGGGACATTTCTGTGGTCAGTTACCCTGGAAACCAGGGAGAGGACATTCCATAGTCCAGCAGTCATTACCTCGTGACTACCTTGTGACTCTGTACTTTTTACACTTCCTGGTTTCTGGAATCTGAACTGACTGGTTTTAGTAACTCATGGCCTGTACCTAAAAGGAGAAATCTCAGGCCTTAGTTTTAGGGTGAAAGCATTTTGGTCTTATTTCTAAGATGGCTCATTTTGGTCTCACAAGGCTACCTTGTGTTACATAAAGAGTTCCTAGTCAGCCAAGGCTGCACAGTATGACTCTGTATAGAAATAATCCACATATGATGCTTTCTCAATCACCCATTTTCCTGCCTCTTCAAAATATCTATTCCATGTAAGGACGGAAGCCCCTTCAGTGATCCTTGTGTTTAATGGCGACTACAGTGGTTTTTATTACTGTTCAGTTAATGATAGTAAAACACAGAAGGCCTATGCTGGGAGCTCTGCTTCTAGTAAATGCTAGTTAACTTGAGGGAATTTCAAGTATTGAATCTCTTACTCATTCATCAGTTCCTATTAGCCCTATTTGTTCTCACTTTCCAGAGAAACATCGCATATGTGGTAAATATGAGAACATCATGGATCAAGGATCAATGAGTACTGTCTATCAGCATGTGAATATCCAAAAGAAGTCTTATAAAAATAATGACCTTGGCAAAATGCTTTATGAATCATCTCAGTGTATACCTTATAACATCAGCAATACTACAGGAAACCATCAGAGAATTCATATAGGAAAGGAACCTTACAAATATGGTGAATGTGAAAAGTCCTTTGGATTTAGCTCAAATCTTGGAACACATCAGAAATCTCATAAAGGACAGAAACCTCACAAATGTAGTGAATGTGAGAAGTCATTTACATGTAATTCAACTCTTAAAAATCATCAGAAGATTCATACAGGAGGGAAACCTTACAAATGTGAATGTGAGAAGTCATTTGCATATAATTCAGTTCTTAAAACTCATCAGAAGAGTCATACAGGAGAGAAACCTTACAAATGTAGTGAATGTGAGAAGTCATTTACATGTCGTTCAACTCTTAAAAATCAGCAGAGAATTCATACAGAAGGGAAACCTTATAAATGTAGTGAATGTGAGAAGTCATTTTTATATAATTCAATTCTTAAAAATCATCAGAGAATTCATACAGGAGAAAAACCTCACAAATGTAGTGAATGTGAGAAGTCATTTACACATAGTTCAAATTTTAAAAATCATCAGAGAACTCATACAGGAGAGAAACCTTACAAATGTAGGGAATGTGAGAAATCCTTTGGATCTGGCTCAACTCTTATAAAACATCAGAGAATTCATACAGGTAAGAAACCTTACAAACATAATGAATGTATAAAATCCTTTGCATGTATTACAAATCTTGAGTCACATAAGAAAATTCATACAGGGAAGAAACCTTAAATGTAGAATATGTAATAAATTCTTTAAATATAGATCAGGACTTAGAAAACATGAGAAAATTCATACAGAAGAAAGATCTTACAAATGTTGGGAATGTGAGAACTCCTTTTCAAGTTCTTCAAAACTTAGAATACATAAGCAACTACATATAGGAGAGAAACCTCACAATGTAGTGTATGTGTGAAATCATTCATATGCTGCAACATGTAAACAAGCCTACACATGTGGAGTGGGCTCAGGGTGTCCATTGTTCATAAGTTGTATCCCAAGGTGGATTGGAGTTTCATGGTAGCAACTATCTGAGCCCTTTTTACAACTGTAAGCAACTCCTTTCACATATACCTGTAAGTAACCTGAAAAAAACTCATTCATTCAGCAAGATTAACTTCAGTGACATCCTTTGTTCTGTTTCAGTTTTTTTTTTTGCAGAGAAGCTCTGGCTTTACTTGGGAAGTGGACTGTGGGGGTTCCAACTCTCCAGTTAAGTCAGATTTTAGGCATTTCTGGGTACCTTTCAATCACTGAAAGACTGGTAAGCCCAACTGTTAAGCAATATATACTCCACTAAGCGATATATACTCCGCTTCATTCCTGCTCCCTCATGGACTGACATTCTGCATCCTGTGGGCAGGGAGTCTGGTGGAGTTCAGCAAACACCAAGGCTGCATCAGGCACAAGAATGCAGAAACTGGCAATTCTGTGATCTCAGTAAGTGGACACTGAGCACCCACCATCTGGACCCCAGGTTTTTCTGAAAATCATGTTGTGCTCAATGACAACAACAACAAAAATATATGTAAAGTAAGTTCCCAGAAACTGAATGCTGCCAAGTTCCTGGATGACAAACTCAGTCTACCTTGCTTACAGGAGTACATCAGTGGTACAGAAGCTAGTTTCATCTGCCTATACACTGGTAAATGATTGTGGAAGCAAAGAAGTGTGTGCCAGGCATTTCTTATTTGCACAGCAGGCTATGCCTGCCAGGGTGATGTCCAGTTTCTAGCTGCAGAAGCCTCTCCTCCTGGGCCCTCTGGAGATGCTCTCACTGAAGATGTCTTCAGGTGTTCTCAGTCTCTTAATGGCCCATAGGCAGTCAAGTGGTACAGGAGGAATGACAGTCATTCCTGCTATACACACAATCTTACTGGAAAAAAGCAACAATAACCTGGCTGCTGTATATCAAGACATGTTTTCTCTTAATGCTGCCACACCATAAGCTGAAATGGCCTGGACTGAAATCACCATCATAAGAAAAACCCTGTTCCAAGGATGCTCTGATTCCTTTTGTCTTTTCACTGACACCAGAGGTGGAGGGGGGGCACTCTCCCCCCTCTGGTGGATGACATCACTTCCCAAACTTGCTTTGGCTGGCTTTCCTGCACTTGTCTCATGGTATGCTGATAAAACTCAGCAACCTCTTTTCTCACAGGAAGCAACATGCTGTACAGAGACCTTTCCTTCACTCTACGTGCTGCAGTCACAGGGCAGAATGGCATGGCTCAGGCCCGGGGCTCCAGCCTGTGAGAAAGCTCAAACAGGGCCTGCTGGCTGTTGATGACATATAGGTGGTTGACATAGGACTCTTGCTGCTCCTTTGGAGACATGTCACTTCCAAACTGGTTACTTCTGCAGTGTCTCAGCATTTGGACAGTGTCTGCAATCATGTGCAGCTTTTCAAAGTTGACAAGATTATTTAAGAATGTTTTATTTCCTTCATGAATAAATGTTACATCTTTAAGCAATAAGGGCATGAAAGGGATTTTTGGCAGCTTTCATCTTTTTGAATAAATCCCTGTAGGCTTTGTGGTTTAGGGAAGGATCCATTAAGCTTTCAAGTTCAGAGAAAAGTTTCTTAAACTTCCCAGGAATTTTCTTCCAGGTCTGGGACAGCCGGCTGACAGAGGCAGTGTTGAGACCCATCATGATAGCAAAGAAAGAGTTCAGGTTCTGCTGAGCTTTGCAGTGAGCAGCAATCTTGATGAACTTTTTCACCAGCTGCACGAGCTTGCCCAGCTGGCTGCAGAGCAGAATCTCTGTGGCCACCCAGAGCTGGACCTTGTTGCATCTCTGGAGCAGAAGGCTAAGGTTGACTGTGTGCTCCCCACTTCCCTGTTTGCTGAACATGAAGTAGATCAGCTTTTGCTCATGGATTGAGTTGAACAGACTCCAATCAAAGCTCATTAATTCCAGAGCAAGGTCCCAAGTGTTCATTCCCAAAATCCTCATCGAACTTTGCTGTGATTCCTCATTTTCTGCGAAAGGATTCAAAGTGTCTGCTAGATCTTTCTGGTAGACAAATATCTGACCTGATGCCTCCAGGTATTTGAAAATGGCCAAGTCATTTAGCTGAATTTCATGCTTTTCTCCAGAAAACATGATGGCCACCAGAGCCAGATCCTCTTCAGCATGCTGCAGCTTCTCAGCCACCACCTTCAGGATTACCTGGGCTGTACTGGAAGTTTTTGCCTTCACACTGACATAGGAGTGCTCCATTATATACACATGGCAAAAAATTTCCTCTGTTTCGGCCACAGCTCCTCTGTGCTGGAGCTAGTTCTCCTTAAGACTGAATTGATGGAAAAGGGCTTTATTCTTCCTTTGTGGTGAATACTCATCGACAGTGTGATGATGATGCATCCCAAGTATCTTCTGAAATTCTTTCAATTCTTTCTCAAGAATTGGATATTCATAGACGTCATCAAGCACATTCCTGTATATGGTCTTTAGAAACATTTTTGAATGTTCATCTTCATGTAACCAGTCTTTGTACAGAGCAATCTACTGCAAAACCAGATGTAAGACCTTACGCTTCCGACAAGGGATGTCTGAGTTTTCTTCTTCCCCTTGATACTTCTTAGCAGAATAGTGTCTTAACAGTGCCTGGCACAGGTCATCAGTTGTCATGAATACTGTATATGTGAGAGGGAAGTCATCAAGGAGCATCTCTGTTTCTTTGTGCTAGACCTTTGCCAGGTGCAAGTCATTCAAAAGGTGCTCCAAGATCTTCTCCAGGGTCCCGGACACCACCATGTACCTGTCAGAGAGCAGAGAGTCCACTGAGTCATCCTCAGTGGAAGACTGTGAGCGGCTACTCCATTCATCGTCTTCATCTTCTTCATCGATGTATTTGAAATAAGGCACATCGAAGGTAGGCAAGGGCAGCTGGCGCCCAGAGAGTGCCTCAGAATCTTTCCTCTCTAGATGGGGTTCAAAGACCCGCAGGCGGGAGCTGTCCATTGTGAACGGTGCCTAACAAAGACATCCCCTAAAGGCTAAAAGATCTTACCATCCTTGTCCTTTCCCTGGTAACTGAGTCCATCTGGCTGCTAAGAGCTCTGCAGTCCCACTTCTTTCCTTTTTATGAGTAAATATATATAAATGTTTCATCTCTCTTGGAAAATCATAGTATAAAACATGTAATGAACCCACAAATTTTCCTCAAAACTTTTGTCTATCAGAAAATTGATATTAAAGATAAAACACTTTGTTCACAGTTTTGTTAAATTAGTTCCTCATTATAAGGCATTAATTAATGTACCTTATAAAGTCCAGCCTAGAAAACCCCCATATGCATTGCATTTGTCAAAACTAGTGCTAGAAGTGTAGATTCATCTGAAGATTGATCCTAAAAGAACAAACACACACACCAATAGTAATACTCAACTATTATCCACCTTTAAAATACTCATTCACCAGTGAAAATCTACAAATAGAAATAATGCAACAAGCATGGTCATGTACAACTAGAAAACCCTAAAAGTGTTAAGAAAATTAGTTTAGCAGTACTCAGTGCAGTAGGAAAAATACTATTAAACATAATTAGCACATTAATTATGAAAGATTCATATAGAAATACAAATACAGATTTGTAGACATACTACAAGCCAGGATAATACAATTAAGAGATGAAAGGAACCTCTCATGCATTTTTGCAGATTAGAATTCTTGTTTTTGAGTGACTATGAAAACGTTTTTTTGGAACCCTTCTTGTATTGCCAGTATTGGATTTCCTAGATGTCAACAGAGTTGCAAACTTTACCTCCAATATGATCCTGCTGACTCACTTACAAATGATTACAAGATAAAGTTTATTTTGCTGTAACATGCTGATATACCCTGAAAATATTAGTAGAAGGGCTCTTTCTGTCAGCTCACTTTCATGCCACCCAAGCTGCAGACAAGTTTTCAAAAAGGTTAGATACCTGGGCAAATAGGCAAGTACCAATATGCTATGCTTTTCTGCAGAGGATGCAGTCTTATCTCAGAGTTCCTATGAACAAGAGGGCAGATGACAAGGCCAGCTCTGAGTCCTATGCTAGGGTCTGGCTTACAGTTGCTTTCTCTTACTGGTTTCTGCTCTTCCTTCTTAAGAGGAACCTTAGTGGACATACTTGCTTTCCAAGCTACTTTCAGGGTTTGCCTCAGCTGCAGGTAGCATCCTAGTCCAAGGTCATGAAGGTTTACCCTGATGTCAACCCAGGTGGAAGATGTGGCCACCTGGCTAAACAATGTGAAGCTCATTTCAGCACCAGTTCATCTGATGTCTGGACAGAGCTCCATGTGCTGTGTTCTGCTCTTCCATGCTCCTCCCCAAGATACTTCCCTGGAGCTAATAAACATCCTGCCTGTGAACTAGCAGGAGGAATTCTCATTTCCTCCTTTTTCTCAAAGACAGTCCTTCAGAGCCTACAAAAGTGGTCTTGCAGACTTAGGCTCCCGCATTTTTAAGTCACACCATGCCTGGCATAGCTCTGGCTTTTTCCCCCAAAATTTAAACAAATATTTGTTGAATATGACTTTTTTTTTAAGATTTTTTTTCATTCTACATACCTTTGACAAAACCCAATACCCTTTCATGATAAAGGTTTCTGAGATCAGGAATACAAGGAACATACCAAAACATAATAAAGTACATTTACACCAAGCCAACAGCCAACATCAAATTAAATGAAGAGAAACTGAATGCCATTCCACTCAAATCAGGAACAAGACAAGGCTGTCCACTGTCCCCATATTTATTCAATATAGTACTTGAAGATCTAGCTAGAGCAATAAGACAACAAAAGGAGATCAAGGGGATACAAATTGGAAAGGAAGAAGTCAAACTTGCACTATTTACAGATGATATGACCCCAAAAATTCTACCAGGGAATTCCTACAACTGATAAACCCCTTCAGTAATGTTTCAGAATACAAGATTAATTCAAAAAAACTCAGTAGCCCTCCTATATACAAATGACAATTGGGCTGAGAAAGAAATCAGAGCAGCATCACCCTTTACAATACCCACAAATAATATAAAATTCCTTGGGGGTAACTCTAACTAAGCAAGTGAAAGACCTGTATGACAAGAACTTTAAGTCTCTGAAGAAAGAAATTGAAGAAGATATCAGAAAATGGAAAGATCTCCCATGCTCTTGAGAAGGTAGGATTAACATAGTAAAAATGGTAATCTTACAAAAAGCAATCTACAGATTCAATGCAATCCCCATCAAAATCCCAACATAATTCTTCACAGACCTGGAAAGAACAATACTCAACTTCATATGGGAAAACAAAAAGCCCAGAATAGCTAAAACCATCCTGTACAATAAAGTCACCTTTAGAGTTATCACCATCTCTGACCTCTCTACTACAGAGCTATAGTGATTAAAAGGAGCTCTGGTTTCTTAGTATGCCCTTCTTTCTCTCTATGGCTTCTCAATTACAACTCTGGATGCTGGTGAGGATGGATGACTGGTGTTCATGGATGGCTAGTGTTACGGTGCAATCCCAAGACCTTGAGACCTTTTTGTCGATGATGCTGTAATCAGATAGCTCCAATCACTTAAGGAAACACAAGAACTTCCTTTGTCTGAAGATCTTACAAGGGCAGCGTTTGTTCATGGTCCTGATTTTTGAAGTATTGCTTGCACCTAATGGGTGAGGATGGAGTTATGAATAAAGGTTTATTGTTCATTTTGCTTACATATTAACCTTAATTGAGTAGCATGGAATGAAGAAATGAAAGATACACATACAGGAAAGTTTGCATTTAGTAGGTCCATGGCCTCTTATGGAGGCACACCAGCTGTAGCCTGGCAACTAAGGAAACTCAGCATGTGTGAATGTGTGTGTGTGTGTGTGTGTGTGTGTGTGTGTGTGTGTGTGTGTGTGTACGTGTGTGTGTGTGTGTGTGTGTGTGTGTGTTGTGTGTGCGTGTGTTGTGTATGTGTGTGCTTTAATACATCTGAATCTGAACTGAGGAGCTGAGGTATTTTATACAGCTAAATGGGGAAGCCAGGTGTCTTAGGGTTACTGTTGTGATAAAACACCATGACAAAAAGCAACCTGGGGAGCAAAGGGTTTATTTTGCTCACAATTCCATATAACAGATCATCAGGGACAGTGAGAACAGGAAACATTAGGCAAAAGCTGATGCAAGGCTGTGGAGGGTTGCTTACCAGATTGTGCATTATGGGATTGCACAGCCAGTCTTTTGATAG